TTATCAGATACAAGTGAGTCGTACGACGCATCTATAGCTAGTGTAAAGTAATTCAAGTTTTTATATATGAAGTTCGCGATGCCAAGAAAAAGTGTCCGGCTCGGTGGTGTGTCCGGCTCGGTGGTGCTTTACGTTATCCACTTTTTGCCCTTTTCCTTTTTTCTTTTCCTTTTCATCCCTCATGCATTTGGGCCCCCCCTGTAATATATACCTCCATGCAGTCTAGCCCCCCACCATCCCTATCCCACAAACATGCGCGCATGCATATGCCCCACTACCCACCTCTCACGGCAGGAATTCCGCCAGTAAGAAGCATACGTATGCACGCATCTCGCGGCGAAGCTGCCCTTGCGCTTCCCTTTTTTTTGCCTCCAAACGTGAGACTTAGGTAATTTAAGCTTAAGCTTTTTTTGCATCTGCGTCTTTGCCTCGTGCCCGTTCCTACTACTCCTCGCCCCCCCTTCACCATTCTCCAACGGCTTACCTCTTTTTCTTCCTTCCTTAAACTCCCGACCCTTTTTCTTTTTTTTTTACACCTGACTTTGTTTATATATTTTCGGCTCTTTCTCTCCGTCTGCGTGTGTCTCTGTGTGGTTTGATTTTTGTTTACTTCAAAACGTCATTTCGGATCGCGCTTGGTAGAGAGAGAAAAAAAAAGAGGGAAAAAGATGACGACAGAGCATGAAAAGGAGATTGAATCATTTGGAGCTAATAATGATTTCTGGATCTTTGGATATGGGTACGTTAATCACTGTGGCGAAGAACAAACAGAAAAGATTACCCCCCCCCCTTCCCCCTCCCGTTCCTTTGCATTCGCTTCCATCTCTCACATACATACACACTTCTGTATGTGTATGTCTTGGGTGCATATGTGTTTGCATGCATGTTACATGTTTACATGTGCAGCTTGTGTTTTTTTATGTGTGTGTCACATGGGCTAACTCGCTTGGTGCTTTGTTTTTTCGGTTGAAATAGAAGCTTGATCTGGAAACCACCGCCACACTACGGTACGGCCCGTCCCCCCCCTTACTAGATCTTTTTTTTTCCAACAAAAAAATGAGGAGAAGAAAAAAAAGTCGCTTGATACGTTTACGGATAAGCTACCCAGCCCTGCTTCTTACTCCCCCGCACATCTTGCGGTTCCTGCTTTTTGTTTTTTTGTTTTTTTTCCTTTCCTCAGTCATTCGATGAATGAAATGCTTTGGTTCTGATTAATGTAGATCAAAGACTTCCGGGATATATTGAAGGCTATGTGAGGCGGTTTTGGCAAGTACGTTGATTTTTTTCCCTTCTAGGTATATGGCTATCAGATCCGACTCGGGAGCTAGCCATGCACATGTTGATCTGCACGGAAAAGAGACCAGAAAAACGAGGACTAACCTAGTAATTGTGTAGGCGAGGTAAACAATTCCATATCCACGACTCAGTCTAGCATGCTGGAGACGACAGAACACGTGGATGATGATGGCTGAAAAAACTACAGTGAAGATCACCGCGGTACGCCCGAAGCACCTGGTCGCGTCGTCACTTTGATTGATAGGGCGCATTGGGAGACGTTGGGCGATCAAGTAAGTCGTTTATTTTCCTTTTTTCCATGTCGAAAATCCAGTGTACATTTGTAAATGCACACATCGTCCTCTCCCAAACAACAACACATGAATACTAAGACCATGCCACAAGCATGACGCCCCCTCTCGTGTCTGGGGCGCGGCATACCATATTCCCGCCCGCCACGTCGAGTCGGTACGCAAATACCTGGATCTCCGAGAAATAAACGGTTACTCAATCCAATTCACGCCTTTCCATCCTGCCGTTAGCAGCGCGACTGCTGCGCCCGAAGAAGTGCCTGCCGAGGATTCATCATTGCCTTCGACAGCCATCAAGGTCACGAGCACGGAGTCACTTGTGCCCGAGCCAGAATGCATCAAATGTCTGGTGTACATTGGGCTTCCAGAAAATCCCCAATTTCTAGGTGCACAGGACCCGGATGCGTTGGCGAGGAAAATCCTACAAAGTGAGTCCATCTTTTCCCTTTGTGATGATTGTTTTGCTGATTGATGATTTCCTAGGCAAGGGCCCAAGTGGAGAGAACAGAGAATACTTGTACAACCTTGATGTTGCGTTGCTCGGATTGAGCGAAGACAGTGGTGATGTGCATGTCAGTGACTTGGTTGGGCGTTGTAGAGCATTGGAGGAGGAAATGGGCATTGGGGGTGGAAACGAAGGCGAGAAGAGTGGCGAGGTGTTGCACAAAGTGGGAAGCACAGAGGAGCAAGAGGAGGTGGAAAGGTAGATGACGAGGAAATTGTAGTGACCATCCAATCGAACTCGTACGACAGGAAAAAATTTCCGCAGTAGCATGATCTGATGCGCCTGATATCGGGTTTGGATGCATGTCTGCTATTTGCCTCACAATGTAACCTTAGTCTCGGCAATACGCGACACTTTGTAACCAACCCAGGTATTCGGGCCTGCGCGATTAGACTGCAGAGGCGAATGTGATTATGAAGCCGAGGAGGCTGAATGTCATCAGCCACAACGCCAGAAAGATGCATGAGACGCTAAAAAGTATGACGATACAAACACAAATTATGCCCATGCACCGACAAGTGCCATTAGATACGCGCCTCCCAAAACGCTGGCGCACGCCTGTAGTCGCCGCTTGCCACGCAGGGTGACGTAACTCTCGTCACTGAGAAAGTCTTCGGCAAGAAGCTCGACCAGGCCGGCGAATAGAAGCAGGCCACTTGATATGGCGTTCATGAAGCCTACAGTTAGTAAGCCAGCTTGACTTGCAGGGTCATACAGGGTGTGGATCGCCAGTCCTATGGCTTGGCCGATAGGGGTCGTTGTGCCATAGGCCATTGCCATAAGCCAGGGCTTCGGTGATCCAGCTGGGAAGCGGATAGCACTGATTCTCGCACCGAGTGCAAATCCTTCAAAAGTCTGGTGAAAGGATATGGCGGTGAGAAGTACAACGAAAGCAGTGCCGGTTGCCACTGAAAGGGCCATGCCTATGAAGACGGAGTGAAAAAGGATGCCAGCTTCAAGCAGCAGGCATTGAAGTAGGAGCTTCTTATTTTGGGCATCTGACTTTTCTGGAGTTTCGGACGGCTCGCCGCGGCCATGGCTGTGCTGCTGATGGGTATGAGGACCTGGCAGCAGGCGGGATTCATCTTCTGAATCTTCAGCATCCTGATGGGCTAGTTCCTCTCTAGTAATTTCCAGATCGGAATCATCGTCATCGTCATCGCCATTGTCCATGGACTTTCGATTCCGTGCATCAATGGGCATGGTAGGGGTCATGGGCGATGCAGCTGAAACGGAGGGTGATCGTCCGGCCATCAAGTTAATCGAGGACTCGACGTCATGGAGTACAATGCCTGGTGCAAGGCCACTCGCCCCTGGCATGCCGTTGCTGTACATGCCGTAGCTATGGCTCCTCTTGTGGGCTGGACGGGCGCCATTCTGAGAGGAGTCGAGACCGAGGTTCTCGTAGCCCGTCGAATGCACATGTCCCGCTCCACGTGCCGCAAAGAACATTTCAATGCTCACAACCACGAAGACAGCCGTCATAGCCACGAGGCCCGGCATGGCGGGATAGCGCTTGTTCCAGAAGTGAGGAAGACATGGGTGTGTGAGAGACTCGAAGGCAGTGGGGAGGAGATGAACGAAAGCGGTGGCTATAAGTACGCCGGTGCCAAAGTGTCGTGAGATGAAGAGGAACTGGTGGGGCACGGGGATCGAGGGAAAGCGCTTGACGATGATTGGGAAGGAACAAGCTGTGCAGGTTAGCAATGGGGGGTTGCAAGGTGGGGAGTGCGGCGGACGTACCCGCTGTGCTCAGGGTGAGGATGAGCAGCAGGGCAAAGACATGCAGCGTCGTGTTGTACTGCCCCTTGCCGCCTTTTGTCTCGCACTTTGGCCGCTCATCTGTCTCTTCTTGCCTGCGGAGCAATTCGGCATGTAGGATGTGGGCGGGTATGTCGATGAGGGCTGGGGAGGATGGCATGGTGAAGGGAGGGGCGCCACTGTGGCTTGCAAAAGCAGTTGCGATCTGCCTTTGGGAAGATTTGGTGCCAGCATGACGCGTGCGAACATAAGAGCATCAGCGCCGGCAAAGGGACGCGCGGACCCGTTGCGCTTACCAAGAGATTGCTGGCGTCGGTACCGGTGTGGCCCTTGGCTTTTGGACCTGTTGGTGCGCCATGAAGCCGTTCATCTTGACAGGATGTAGTATACAGTATCTACTTTGCTCCAGTCTGCTACGAGCGAGGGCGACAGGGCGTCTGCGACATGACCCTTGGCCGCGGGCTCGGAACGCGGTCGGAAGCCAAGAGTGACTACGTATCCATCCATCTGCACACAGGCTGGCGGGCATGCAAAAGATACATACATCCATACATCAATACATCCATACTCGATGCGTCCAAGCAGAGCCGGGTACAAGCGTCCGAGGTGCTGATGGTGCAGCCGCTTCTCTCTGTCTTCTCTGCATGGGCATGGGGGTGGCAGGCGAATCATGACATTCACCACCCCCCAAGACACCACTCGGCCATATGTCGAGTAGCCAGTGTGCATGCAACGCCACATGGGAGACGGCAGGTAGCCCGCAAGTAAGTAGTCGTGCCATGCACTTGGAGAAGACAGGCCCCGTTCTATACATACTACAGACCATGCAAATGCAGCGTTAGCCACGGGCCATGGGGGATGCTGATGCTATTTTTGATGTCTGGCCTACATATAAGCCGGGACCCTGCTTCGCTCAGCGTCTGCAACGGCTCTGCATCCGCCTACAGAAAACACCAGGCCAAACCTCGCCTCGATACACAGGCTCGCAAGCGGTCTAGATCGGCGGCGCCCGACAGAGGCCTTACCCGGCATCGCTTCTGCAGCCTAATACCAATCAGGTCCTTGATAGTTCGCACTTGCCCACGCCCCTCCGCTGTGTCAAGCATCACCAAGAACGACACAACCCCAACTCAGCCTCGTTTCCACACATGCCAGAATCAAAATGGTGGCAGCCGAGCATCGATTAGGAAAGTCTGGCCCAGTCACTCCTCCTTCTCTTCGACCGGCTACGCCTTACTGAGCCCCACCCCCTTCGTCTTCTCTGCCATCCCCAAGACGGCGCCTCGCTGGGTCCCGCGACGGGACATTTTGGCACCCTAGGGCCACGACGGCGCTGGCGGGCCGAGCCCATAATGTCTCAAAAACAGGACTTTCTGTTCGTCGACGCCGCTCAAGCAAAGACATCTCGCCAGGGCCGCCGCAATGCTCGTTCCTTTGTTATGCAGAATGCGCGCAGGAAGAACCCATGGTCGACCAGCAAGCACGCTGCAAAGCAAAGAAAGACGGGCAGCCCGGAAAGCACAAGCCCCAACAGCGCTACCTCTCCCTCGACACACACGCCAAACACAGCAACGCCAAGTCCTCCGCTCCTCCCAAACAGATCTGATTACTTCCCCCTCCAGGACCGCCGTGAGTATGCACTGGCCAGAAAACTCGTCTGCCCCGACTGTCACGTCTTTCTCGGTCGCCCTAATGAGCGGCTGTGTCCAAGATGTCTACTCCAGAATCCTGCGCCTGCTCAAGACCCAAGTACCGAATCATTTGACCCCTTTCGCACTTCATCCATTGAAGTCACTCGAGATGTATCTGACCTTTTGAGGCATTGTAAGTCGTAGTCCCTGCGTCTTTTTTGCGTACATGGGTCTGGGGATACCGGCATGGTGGTACAGCAACCCTGTTTAGTTTGTGTCCCATACTCAAGTTGGTCACGTCAGCACAAAAGAGGGACCATTGCATTTGACACCATTGCCATTTGTGGCTTGACCAAAGCCCTGCTGCATTGCGTTGCTGACCACGAAACAGTCTCAACCGAGATGGCGCCAGGGATCATTGCAGTCGACGTCCGCCATCGCTCCACCCTCATGAAGTCGGATTGGTTTGGCACCGCGATAAGTAACCCAGGCTTTATGCACAGTCTGCTCTCCACCATAGCCCTGCATGCATATGTTTTTGGCAAAGGCACCATTGACGCCATCCTATACCATCGCGCACAGGCAATCGCTGCGGTGAATGCGGCTATACTGACTCCAGAAGGAATTTCTGATGCCAACATTGGCGCCGTCTTTAATCTACTCACCGTCGAAGAAAGCTTGTTACTGCCAACCTTTAGGCTTGAAGAGGACCATATGGCACAGCTCCAGATACACCAAAGGGGATTGCAAAGAATGGTACAATTGCGTGGAGGACTCGGTGCCATCAAGACGAACCGCATCCTCCAGGCCTTTATGCTTTGGTGGGTGAACACTTTTTTTTTTTGCATCGCCAGCTGAACTGAGTTGGCATGTGCTTACAAAGCACCAGGCATTCGACCGCTCACGCCGTCGCTTCTTTCCAAGCACCAAACCTCTCAACATTAGATTTCATAAACACAGCAATCTTCCCGCGTCATCCCCCCGAATACCGCCCGAACATATCAAAACATCTCAACAACTATTGTCGCTATGCAGGTGTCAAGACGTCTCTCAATGCCTTGGTAGAGTCAGTACTTGTGCTAATAGCTGATCTCAACGTTTGGTTTGGTGACCCCGAAAGCCCGCTGGATCCTCTCGATATTCAAAACTTTGCCTGTGTTTTGGAGTGTTCATTGCTAGCATGGCTGCGGGAAAACGAACATCTCGTCACGCCTCTCGAAGATGCATTGTGCGTTGCGCTGCTGATTTTCACCGTGCGTACTACAGAGGCAATGAAGGTGCAGTCACATGTTCATCTTCTCCATTTTGCTGCGAGCAAGCGCCTCGAGAAGGCACTCAACTGCACCGTCCGAACTGAGTGGCAAAATTGCCCCGACCTCTTACTGTGGATTCTATCCATTGGTGCGATATCGGCTGAGCCCTCGCCGGAAGCCGTCTGGTTCATCCATCAGACATCGCTCGCATGCGCGGAATTCGGTATATTATCGGCAGAGATGCTGCTTGAACGACTACATCTATGCGGCTGGGTCAGCTATAAGCTGGATAAAGCTGTGTGCCACCTATGGGAAAGGGTTGTTAATCTCAGGTTAGATGACCATAACATCCTGCCAATGCATTCGTTTGCTTATATATAATTTTGTCTTGTACGTAGGCTTGCGCCGTATTTCGAGGCGCCCTTCAAAGCTGAAGACGCCAACAGCCCCATCGGACCTTTGCAACACCACGTCGCCGAGCCGGATCTGGATGCATGGGAAAGTATCGACTGGGCTACACTCAGTCTGGTCCACAACCACCCAACCGAGCAACAGACGGATGCATCTGATGCAGGAGAAGGACCCGCAACTGGGACACCGAATGAAACATTCAATTTTGGAAGTGGCCATGGGTTTTCATGTACGTCTCACAATGTTGATATATGCTCAGAGAGTGCATACCTATCTCACAACGCTCATGATGGACGCTAACGGTCTCGGCGCATCGAAGGGTCTACACCTCAACAGCTGTACGCACACTGATTGAGCGAGTCGTATGAAAGTCACCAATAGGAGACGATGATTTTTTCGTACGGCAAAGAGTTTTGTTGTTACTGACGTCTGTGTGTCTATCGCACTGCAGACAACGAGTCAGATACTGTGCTTTGCTTCCGCCGTTGTAGCTAAAAAAAGTCCAATGGTTCCTAACAGCATCAACAAGTCCCAGTAGTAACAGTACTACACTACCGATCTTGTAAACACACCTGCAACATTGCGACAGGAAACGACTTGCATCTGGATTCGCATCCATTTCAACATAAAGATACACGAGCCGTAGAGAATTGAGGCTATCGGGGGCGACATCAAGATTCTCATTAGATTCTCGGGCGATAACAAGGAAGATGAATATGGACGGTGTTTTCAAGACATGGCACATTCTTTTGAATAAGTTCTGTCTATTAGGTTTGCGGAGGTATCAAGCATATCGGTCTGTATACACGGACCAGAGGATACCCACATTTCTAAATACATGAGCTGTGGAAGACTTCAGGGGTCGACCCGAGCATGGAGAGGACCGCATTAGACTTTGAGGAGAAATGCTATCAGAGGTGGCATATGAAAGCCAAAGAAGTCGATACATGCCCATTAGGATATGGGGTTGGGATGTTCAAGTATATAACGTCTTTTGGGCGGTTTTTGTCAGAGATACCAGGAAAACATTCTAAGAATACTTTCGAAGCATTCTCTCCTCCATCTTCTCCGCTGCTGGCTCATCTTCACGAGGCACATCTTTCCCTTCCCAATGACGTCACTGAGGCGCTCTTCTGATGACAAGAAAGGACTAGCTCCCTCGTGACACCGCGATCCTAGGGAAATCGCGTCCGCTCCCGTGGCGACGCCGCTTTGGACCGATGGAGCCATTCAGCAGCTTGCTGCCACTCCAGATATGGCCCTTAACCCCCGAAGTCCTTCCGTTCACAATCAGATGATTACTCGGTTTATCAAACATCCGAAATCTACAAACTTTGACGGCGAACGAGACCAACCGACAAAGCGTCAAAAGGAAGGCAGCAGTCCGAAAAAGGCACCGCCTACGCCACGCAAAAGAGTGAAACGTGAGGTACCTGGTTCCGAGGATGAGGGCACCTACGTGGAAATCAAAGAAGAAGAGAAGGAACCCAAAACAGATCTGGAAAGCGCATTGCCAGATGTGAAAATAGACGACGATGCTATTAAGGAATATGAGGCATACAAAGCATTAGATGAGAATAAATCAAAAGAAACTAGTGAACGTCTGGAGAAGCGTGCATGGATCAGGGGCAAGAGCTCGCTTTATGTCGACGCCTTCAACTTGGCTCTGGACACTGTTCTAGATGAAGAAGGACACCTCTTCGATGAAGCAGAGACAAAAGTCTTTCGAATATGGCGGAGTTTGGGTTATGAGGTGCAGTACTTGTGAGTGGGAAAAGCATAAGGCGTCACGTTTTGGTTCTGATGTCGACTTGCAGATACGTACGGTTGTTCCTGCGAAAGACATCTGCCTGGCATCGATTAAAGAACCTTGGTTACCATGACGATATCTCAGATCTCGATGCGGCAGCCGAAACATTACAGCACACGTATGAACTGCCTGCATCCTCTTCTCAAGTCGAGTCGCATCCAGGCGAGTCGGAAGCACCGACTGGAATTGTACTAGGCACGTCGTTTACGTTCGCGGATCGATCCGAAGAGGAGATAAGCACACTTGAAGAGGCGTCATCGCTTCTGAAACTTGATGAACTTAAAGCTCTTGCAAAGGATGCTAAAGTCAAGGGAAAGAATAAGAGCGAGCTTTTGAAGGCCCTCCGACGTACAAGTCAGAAGCAAACTGGCTTAGGCTATGTCGGACTGAAGCGTTCAGATTTGGAAATGTCCAGAGCATCTTCCGTATCCCGGTCTCGGCCAGAAACACCAGATGTGGAGCTGGAACCTGAGGGTGAACTCTCAGATGACGCCAACCGTGATGCGCATTTTACGCGCAGAATCATGCAGGAGACTGGTTCGTGTATACGACTTTCTCTAGCACCTCTAAAGCTCTTTGAGCGCGTGCATCTTGTCTTTTACCGCTCGACAGAGTGGACAGAGAAGTCGCTAACAACCATCATCCTGGCCAAAATAGCGCGTCGAAACTTCCCAGAGTACATTGTCTCTCGATCGGCGAACATATTCGCTTCGCGATCATTGTTGTTGGAGTACGAGGCATCCATCCGCACCCAACACAGGATAGACAATATCTTAGAATACAGTGGTAGGCCTACAGAGAAAGGCTACCAGGAAATTCTGGACACATTTGAGGAGATCTACCCCCGCTGGCAAACCCTTGTCCAAGAAGAGCAACAAAAAGAAGATAGCGTCTATCACAGCGGGGAGGGCTCATATCTACGTCGCCTCTCTCCAGCTTGGGTATACACACGCATCATCCACAAAGCGCTCGATGTACTTAGGCGCCGGAAAGAACACAAGCGCGAACACGAAATTGTAACCGAGTTGTTGTACCAGCGCCTTTTCCATCACTCGCGGAGAGGTGCATGGTATCAACGCAAAGCGCTTCTCGAGGAGCACTACATGGCAGCGCTCACCGACCCAGGAAAGAGGAGCGTAGACAAGCAAAAGAGGCACTGGAAGCAGATTGCACTGCAGACGTGTGAAGATGGCTTGCAGGATAACCTCGTACATGTCATCCACCACTATGACCTCCAGAAGCGCATCACAAAACTCGAGTTGTCTCTCAATTTTGCCAAACGACTCCAGCATGACTTTTCCCACGTGCGCTTGACAAAGCCAGTAGAGGTTACTATGGAGGGAACCCGCATCGAGCGTGAAACCTCTGTATCGTCAAGACGAAGCAATTCTCCACATCCTAACTCTGGCAGACGCGGCGGGAAAACCATCTGGATTGACCCACGTGAGGATGGCGAATGCTCAGTCGAAGCAATGTGCCTATCGCACTACCGCAACCAAGGCTGGAAAGGGTTCCATAGTGAAGGCGGCATCATACGCACTCTCTTTGCCTACCTCTTCTACGACGTCCTCTTTACCTATGTCCCTAACGTCTTCCAGACACCGTACCAGACCTGCCCGTTGGACTTGCACACCGACGCCTTCTACCCCTCGCGTATCTCAGAGATCAATTCCCGCCTGAATGAGATTTCAAACGGTAGCGCGCCAGGCATCATCCAGAGAATCTACAACGACCATCACGAACGACGGACTTGTGTTGTCGGGCTCGACTGGACATATGATGTGAAAGATCTTGTGGAGATTGCGCAATGCTTTGACGGCGAGGCGCTGGCCACAATATGTAAAGTCATGGCTCAAGAATATGGGCAGAGGGGCGGTGGCGTCCCGGATCTTTTTCTCTGGAGAGTCGAGCAAGAGGGGCAAAAGGAAATCAAGGGCGAGGTCAAGTTTGCAGAGGTCAAGAGCGAGAACGATCGGTTGAGTGATACGCAGAGGCTTTGGATACATGTGCTTTCTGGTGCGGGTGTGAGGGTTGAACTTTGTGCGGCGGTGGCGAAGGAGGTCAAGGTCGTGTGAGATCGCGTACACCGATGAGCAGACAATCGCTCAAGTAATACAGGACTCACTGCCTTTCTTGGGCCCTGGCTGTATTCAGCTTCAGTACGCTGAAGTTGGGTACAACGTACAAAATCTCTGGGACGTGGATGTTGGGTAATGGATTCATTGGCTAACTACGATTACACGGAGGGACGTACATTCATCTTAAGTATTAGTAGGTGACCTGGCCCAGCCACCACCAATTGAGGTTCATCCAAGTTTGATCTTCAGTTCAACAGCGGAAGACGCCATGACTTGGTTAGACTTGTTGGCGGCTTGGGAGGCACAGGGTCGTCGAAAGTGGGCATGTCCATGTTGACCCAGGCATGGAACCACAACGGGAAAAAAAATCATGAACAAATTCCCTTGCCGCTTTCCTTGTTCTCGCATCCGGCTGGCCCAGCAAGTATGCAAGTTGATCGTATGAAAGCCAATTGTGTGCGTGTGTGCACGTATAGTCCCTGCACGTTTTGCCCATGAACATGTCTTTACAAAGCCCCAAGTTGCAGGACTTCGTAGCGCCATACTTCCAGGGGAAGATATACCCTGAGGCACTGTCGTCCCAAGCACTTCCAAATCTGTATGGCATTAAGGGGGGGCTTGGCGTTGCTGTTATACTCCATTGCGAGAAGCCCTTTCAACTCATTCCTGCATATGTTCGTAGATCTCTGCCGGTGTTTTTGACCTAGGGACCACATGCGGCGTTGTGGCAGCCTGCTCGTCATGACCTTTTTCGGATATAGTGGCGGCAACAGGCGTCTGGCTTTGCGGTGAGGATGACCTAGTTTCAGAAGCCTCCGTTGCTATTCGAGCAGCTCTCTTCGCAACTATCTCTTCGAAGATAGAACGAAGTCTGCTCTCGAGTTGGCGACTCAAGTAGTCGTCTACTGCCTGAGTGGAGGGCAGCGTCTCAGGTCTGTGCTGTAGGGGCCCAACCTCACGGGAGAAGGAGCTATCCTCGTGGGTGCGAGTATGTCCAGATTTATATCTGCTTGGAAGTATACGGCGGGGCGAGTGATCATGCTCACGGGCGTAACGATCTCTCCCACGGGCGTAAAAATCTTCCTCATAGTAAGAAGGATCTCGAGGATCCTGTCTAGCTGATGAGATACGCCGAGGTGGGTAGTCTCCACCGCCGTTACTTTCCGTGAAAGAATAATCGCTTCGATGAGGTGCACATGTTCTCTGAGAATACTCCGCATATCTATCATGTGGAACAGGCGAGCGGGGAAACCTGCCTCGGAGGTGGTGATAATAATCACGCTGATCGTGAGTTGCGTCCCTATATTGGAAATGTCCTTCGTAACTTTAAACCTCATTACTTGGTAAATATAGGGGAAGACTTACCATGCTGTGCGTAGCGCCACGGAGAGTAGTTGCCCGAAGGCACGTCCCAGTACTGGGGATTTTCTGAAGGGGATTAGTCATCAGCGCTTGAAAATCATAGAGGAAGACTCACCATGCGACTCATGAGACCAGGTAGATCTATAGGACTGAGACGGCCTATTCGGCGGGGATTCGTGGCGCGAAGGCGTGTGGCGCTGACGGTCAGAGGATCGGTGACTATACATGATGATAATCACACTAGGACTTGTCAATACTGGAACAGAAAGATTGATTTTGGTCACATACCGAAAATTTATTTTATTGTTTGTGAGAAGACAGAAAACGAGGGGGAAATTTTGGGAAAGAGCAGTTGCCGCACTAACTAAAAACAGATTTGCAGACAGTGAAAGTGATAGGTTACTACGTCACGGGTCTACTGCAAGAATAACGACGGCTTTACACATGACACCCTGTGTTTTCAACAAGCATCACAAACAGGATCAGGCTACATAGTATTATGAAAGATTTGTCATTCTATTAGAGCAAAGTAAAATCTTGCTGATTTTGAGATTAACTCTACACGTGATGAGGAAGTCCACCATCACCACTATCTATCAGAAGCCTCTGCGACGTGCAAAGTACGTCTCCATCTCAGCGACTTCAATAGGCTAGTTCAAGCCGTTTCTTTCATTACTAGGATATTGATCCTTTCGTCTCGGCGGAGACCTACGGGAAGCCTGATCGCGATTGATTCGATCGTTGCGTTGTTGCGCCAAAGTTCCACGGTTTTCCATGCGTCCGTATTCAGAGCCTCTGCTCGGTTTCTCTAGCCAGCGAGGTTCTGCAGAATACTCCCGTTTTATACACGTAGCCAGAGATGACTGTTGTTCCCTAGTTGCGTATACTACCGCTTTTGATGTTGATTGCAGCCGTTGTTCATTGAGGAGTCTTGTTCCTGCGCCAATGGTTGTCCATGGCACCCGCTCTTGCCCATGTGGTACAGGTAGCATTTTATCAGACATCGGTCGACCGCTCTGGCTTGAGCGATGTTGTTGTCGATGATATACAGAGCGTCGATTCATGCTGGAGTTGTCTTGATATGAACTGTCGACTGGAAAGGGCCTACCGTCACCTCTGGTTGGGTGAGGTGGACTTTGTTGTTGCGTGGGACGATATAAGCCTGAATTAGCGCTGAAACGGTCTCTATGCTCGTCATACTGGTTGCCTAGTTGGCTGGAACGGTCCCCTTGCCGTCGAGGGTTGCTAGAATAGGGCGACGTATCTTCCCTGTACTCAGAGCGGCTAGGAGAAAACCCGCCATATTGACGTATAGGAGGTCTAGAAGGAAACTGATTTTCGCGATTCATTTCAGTGAGAGCTCTCAGTTCTGTGACTTCATATGACAGTCTTGCGATTTTTTCCCTCATTCGGGACAGTTCATGGAACAATTTATCTTTTAGTTCGCGGAACAGTGTGTCTTTCAGTTCACGGAACAGTTCATCTTTCAGTTCGACATGTTTGTCACTGCCAACGACGAACAGCCGTCGATTTGGCCGTTCACTTGCTTCGTCACCGTCTTCGTGTTGACGCTTCTCGCCTCGGTTCAGTTCTTGAATCTTCAATTTTCGTGGCATCAATACTGGATGCATCATGTTCGCCCCATCCGGCACCACCAAATTACGACCCTCACGAGCGCGTGGAAAGTCGAGGAATATTGGGTTCTCAAGTGCAAGGAATGCTTGCTCCTCTTTTGTAGGCTGAATCTGGACGTTGACGGGGACCCAGTCGCTTGATCTTTCACCGCTCGCGGGATCAGTGATTACGAGTTTGGACTTCCAGAAGGACACACTGGCGTATATCCACGGACACTCCTGCAATAAAGTTGGTACTAGCTTTAAAGCCTCTTGGAAGCATAAGCTCCAGGTCCTGGTAGAGGCACTTACTAGATCAGGGTGGATATCGTCTGCGCGGCAACCACACCACTGGCAAAAACAGATATCTTTGGGGTGCTGGCCAGTTGGTATTCCACACCGCAAACATAAAGTGGTACGGTTCGAATTTCGAGCCATATGCAATAGCTTTGTGCGGTACTTGAGTTCGTCATCAAAGTTGATGAAATCTTTTGGCGGGAGATATCGCTCCACTGGAAACTGGAGTCCATCTAATGCGGTCAGCATCGCTCAATTCAGATTGTGTGAGAAATCATACTTTGGCCTTTGGCAGGCACGCGCTCATAGGCGCCTTCAGCTTTGATCAAATGTATGTCTGCAGGCATACTGCCTTAATGGTAACGACGAGTTTGATTTTGCGATATGGAGGAGGCAAAGTGGGCAACTGTGCTAGGCGGGAGACGTAAAAACAGTGTACAAACGCACTCACGCGCGCACAGACCTTGGCCTTCAGTGACCGGCCAGGTCAGGTATTCACCGTTCACCTTAATGATTCGACTGACGTTACCTTGGAAAGATCGATATCCAACTGGTAGGTCGGGCATGCCCTTTTTCTTTGTGAAATTAGCTGTTAAACCAAAAAAACTAAACAGTATGTAGATATTATAAAGACTAAAAATCAACAATTAAAAAGATAAATTCCAAGAGAACTTATACAGAATTATTTGCTTACTCCCACTACATGAACTCGTGCGGCAATACAACGTGAAGGATACTCACTCACATAGTCTGTACACAGTCAAACAAGGTGTAGTGTAGATGACCAGTTTTGTTTTATTTCTGCCTTCCTCATCACGGTTGACAGCTAGGACAACATCGGCCTTTCCTTATGCTCCATGATTTTTTTTAATATTCCAGGTACATAGATGAATTTTAGACCACTTCACAACTTTGCAGGTTTTTCAAATGCAAACAGTGACCTTCCTTTCTTCGCCGTATCTTGCCACACCCACCCACTCTTGCCCACAACCTCTCCTGTACCACTGGCCATGTGTCTCAGCGTACTCTCATCGCCATGGTTCGCCAAGAAACGCTTGTTATTGCTTCTCAGCCTCCCCACGACATAACCCCTCAGCGGGCTCCCGTCTCGACCAAACTCGACAGTGTACGTTTCTACAACTGCCTCTCCTTGGGCATCCACCGCAATCTCTGGTACAGGAACATCGGTGATTGTCTCCGGCAGCGGGTTTTCCGTTGGATACTGGCCATCTTCCCGAGGATTCCTTCCAAGGATGACAACGTACTGATAGCTCAGCACACCTCCATTACACAATACCATTGCGTTTTTACTCTTTCCATCTCTCAGCTGCCTCGTGATTTCCGTAAGAGCATGCATCGAATAATTGTTCCCCGCTCCACCAAACGACGTCAACCCGCCCAACACAGTCAGTGACTTTTTACCTCCTATAATCGGCAATCCGAGATGCTGGGCTGCGATCTTGGGCACGATCGGAAAACAAGAGTATATATCGAAGAGATCGATGTCTTCTTTCGCTGTACCTGAAACGCGCAGACTGGCGTCGATGGAACGTGAGATGCTTGGTGACGAGTAGAAATTGGGTCGTTGCCAGAACTCATCTGCGTCGCGGGTTCCCGCACCACCGAGGGGGTAAATCCATTTTGAAGGAGGTACTCCGAGACGGGTAGCATGAGAGGTGGAAGTAACGAGGACGGCAGCGGCAAGGTTGACGGTGTTGAAGGCATTCATGAGCAGAGGGTCTGTAGGAGTCAGCAATTTGTAAAATATGAACCACATACACAGCAACCATTGGTATTGTGGTAGCGCTGTGTCACGAGGAAAGAGCGGGCGACGGGAGAACGAGCCAGGAAGGAGTAGAGGACGTACAAGGATAACAAATCATTCTGTTCTTTCCTCCAACTCTTGCAATCTCCTCTTCGCTCGTTTTCTGACCATAGTTCCATGCTATCTCGTTCTTTTCTGCCACACGTGCAAATTCCGCATACAACCTCGCATTCTCTTCGTGATTCGCCTGGAGCGACTGACCACGATGAGCACGGAACCCGTTTTCGTACAAAGGGTAAACGTGTATCGGAGCACCAATCTTATGTATTGCGCCAAGATCTTCAAACTGTCAGTTGATAAGAGGGGCTGTTGGATGGAGGGCAATACTGTTTCCTAGATCCCGACCAGTGGGCGTAAAGACTGAATCTACTGCCGAAGAAGGGAGCGTCCAGCCCGGCGGAGGCAATTTCTTGGCTGCTGCACATGCAGATACTAATGAGAGCAAGAAAAGGGTTGTCAGTGAGTTCTCCAAAGTGTTCTTTCGCCACATATACCTAAGAAGTTAATGTAGATGGATGAAAGAAAAGGTCTTACGCACAGGAAGCCAATGCCTCTCCTCCCGTCACAACAGCAACCTCACACTCGCCTTTTGCAATCCTCCTCGCAGCCTCATCTAAGAATTTTCCGGGTTTATCGCCTCCATGCTCGGAATATCGTTTCCACTTCAGACTCGCTTGCACGCCCAGCTTCGTTGCTAATAGACTCGGTAAATCCGGATATGGCCACGTCCATGTTTTGACTACATCGATACTATCGATTGCAGCCTGCAGCTCCGAGATAGAATTAGGACTCGCGTCGGAGAGGGCAACTTGTATAGCTTCGAGCATTAATATTGCGGGTTCCTTGGCATCGGATACAGCTGTAGAGCGATTCTTGATATCGCCTACACCAATGATAACGGGGGTATTGTGTGGCACCATCGTGGCATATGAAAACAAGTACGAATGCAAATTTGAAGTTACACTTCTGCAATGTATTGTTTTATCATGTTATTTTGTTGTTGTCGCGACCTGGCTGTATTTAACGGCGATATTGGACTTGTGTCTGTGAGGAGTAGGGACAGGTTGCCGAGGTAATCCGGGGTAACGTTGAATGCTCGTGCGTGTCAGGATGCAGGAACCTTAAAACCACAACACCATCACCAGCGACTAGGAACGAGATGTTCCACGGCCAGAAAGCTCGTACTAACCTTGATTTCGATGGAAAATAGTCTAGTTGTAAACAATAGCTAACTCTGTTTAGACTAATCCCTGAAGAGCAAAGGAGAAGAAAAATACAAGAGATGTCGGCAGAATATACTAAAGAAGGGCATAACGATCAATGAGATACAACCCGAAAAGCGAAACAAGGTATGTATTTTCAATAACCATGCCAGGCTTGGTAGACGTTACTGAGATATAACGTTACCCAGTCACAAAAAAGAGCAAAAAAAGAGAATTTCCGACACCGGGAATCGAACCCGGGCCTTGCCGGCACTGAACAGTGAACTGACTCTGCATATGAGAGCGGCAAATCCTAGCCACTAGACCATATCGGATATTGATGAAAAACTTGAAAAGTAGTTGGATTATGATCGAAGGGATTTTCCACATGGTAAAGCCTCGAGCTAATATAATCGGGCGCAGAACTAATCCATTGTCGACATTTCCCACATGTAGGCAGGCAAACACATGGACAAGATGACTATTTATTTTCCCTTATCTTACAACATGGGGGGCCGTTAGACGTGAGATGAGAACTACAACAGAGACAATATCCATGGTCTTCCACACCATGAACGAAGAAAAAGAATGGGAACCATGCACTAGCCCAACCTGGGTTCAAGACAAAGACTGAATCGAAAACGGGTAAATATAGCAATTGCCCCCTTTTGTTCCAAAACTCTTGTTTTGCCTCTTCTTTTCCTCTCTCTGTCTCTCAGGTCCAAATAGAACATAAATCACCGCCCCCCCCAATCAGAGTTACATAGTAGCAAACGGGGCTTGTTATCAGCAGCCCTTTCCCCTTCAAAAAAAAACACGTGTAATGCTTCGGAAAAAAAATCAGCAATAACAAAAAGAAAAAAACACCGACCATGTGGGATAAAAAAGAAAGAGCTACTAAGATTACAACGCTTATGGTCTCGATATATCCAGCATGCAAAAAAGAATTCTCATATTGCAAACACAGAGAGACCTCTTTCAACGCTCCAAAAAGTTGGCTGAACATGCCGAAACTAGCTGCATCTGAATTTTGCGTCCAAAGGTTGTGCTGTACATGCAGCGTGAAAGACGCGTAACTTTCGACAAAAAAAAAGAATCAGTCGTTTTCCTAAAACTTAAACGTACTCTTTTTCCGCCCTATGCTGAAGCGATTCTTGCCAGCTGTGTCGGTATCTGTTGTGGGGGTGTCCGGTAGAGGAGGCTCGTCTGAATGGCCATCTTTATCCTTGTGCCCAGACCAGAATTTCGGCTTGGTTCTGAGGCTCATGGACGTGTGTCTGAAGCGACTCAATCCACTCATACCCTTGACGCTACCGAAGCCGTTTGCATGCTTATCCTTTTCAGGATTCGGGGTTGGGGGTGACCCTGGAGGTGGGGCTGCCTCACCACTAGCAACGCGCTTCTTCTCCTCTTCTGCAGCAGACGCTTTGCTAGCCTCCAAGACAGTCTTGAGCTCTTCTTCTTGCTTGCGATAATTCTCCCGCCTTTGCATTTCCATCTCCTTGCGCTTCTGCTTTGCCTGCTTTTCAAGCTCCTTTTCTTGCGCCTTGCGCTCCTTGTCTTCCTTTCCTTTTCCAAAAAGGCCAAGGTTGCTCTTGCGCGGAGCTAGAGTGGGGATATGAGATGTGGTATGTTCAACCGGGGGATTGTCGGTACTCGCCTCGACGTGGGCGAGGGGCGGTGCGGTGGCGGCATGTGCAAGACTGGTAAACTTGTCGGCCTCTTCGACCGAGGGCGTTGTTGCATTGTGAAAGGCGTGGAATGGTGTTCCATTTGTGCCGTTTGTGCCATTTTGTTTTGGTGTGGTGACTTCTTCTTGGGCCATCTTGGCGGCCTGCTCTGCTGCAGCCAATGCGTCGGCTTCCTGCTCCTTCATCATGGCCTCCTCTGTTGTTTCTTGGTAGAACAAGACATATGCGCATGCCAAGACGTTTTCTCCGCCGAAAAAGTTTCTGACATATGCCTTGTCTACCGGCTCAACCATCTCATCGTCGAACAGCAGCCAGCCCCGGTCTTGTGTTTTGATGATGGACACATAGTGTCCGTGATATGGTCCACCTCCGATGTGCACGACTACTGCGTATAGTTCGTATAGCCTGTCTGGGTCTTCGGCGTCATCCGTGGTGTTGAATAGGCGAAGGTAGAAGGGGTAGACGACGCGATGAAACAGTTTCTGTAACCGCTGCAGATCTTCGGTATACTTGAAGCGCTTCAGATGCAGGGCAAGAATCTTGGGTAACCGCTTAATCTTCATGCGCTTCTCTGCCTCTTGTAGACCTCCGCAGTTGTCGCAGTGGAACTTGTTCCGCTCGCACAACAT